GGCCGGGGGCGGTGGCCGCCGCCGCTCCCCGGGCTGAGGCCGCAGGTAGGCCGCGGCACGGCCCCGGGGCCGGGGCCTCCCCCGCTGGGTTGAGCCAGAGCGGGAAGGGAATCCGAAGGGAAAGGATCGGGTTTGAAAAGCAGCGTGGTAAGGCGGCGGAACGATCCTCAGTCAAAAAGAGGAAATTTAGTAAAGAGAATTAAAACCGAGAATTAATAAAGAGAGAATTAACAAAGAGAGAATTAAAAAAGAGAATTAATAAAAGGAGGAAGTCAAGTGGGTACGTAGAAGACGGGGAATAGCTGATGAGGGAGCAGCAGCGCAGAAGAAACTGGTTTGTCGTGCATCATAAGCTGGAGTCAAAAATGCGATGCTTTGGGGGGGACAAAGGCGTATCTTTTGGGATGTGTCAGTAGAAGTGCCTCGCACAAGAAATGGGGAAAGAGAGCAGTTACTCAGGCTAGTAGGCAATGCTGCACAAGAACAGATAGAAACCAGCCAAGCATAAATTAGAGGTTTCTAGTTATCAGAAGAGCAGGGTCCTGGTAATGAAAAGAGGAAAAAGAAGGAAACAAGAAGAAAAAAAAAGAAAAACACAAAAAAAACCCCCAAAGCCCCTATACGGTTGAAAGGGTAAGTATATTTCTCTTCCTGTTTGAAGAATATTTTCTACCCAAACAAGGCACAAAGAGCCATCAAATAAGGCAGGCCTCACAACAGCAACAGTGAGGGCCAGTGCCTTACCTGATTTTAAAACAGGGCTTGATGAATACATGAGTAAGGTTATGTGGCATGGCTGTCCTTCACAGCAAGCAGCAGGACTTGGGAATCCAGAGGTTTCTTCCCACTCCTGTGTCAGTGAGTCAAAGGTACACACACAGCAGGGAATACCATGTTAAACAAAAGTTTTTCAATAGTGGTGTGTACTGAAAATAGTTCAATAACTAACAATTTTAGGAGCATCTGACTTGTGAACAGAGTCAGACTACAAGATATCCTTAAAGTCTATTTTTATAAATGCTGTTGTTGTAGACATTGCTTGTGCTGCCAAGTAGAAGGTTTTTATTTTATCCTACCCTATGATTTCTCACTTCCTTGGGCTGCAGGCATGGAGGATGCTGAAACAGCATCGTTACCTTATGTGCAGAGGATGCTTCACGTTGCTGACCTGTGTGGTCCTCACCTAGCTGTGGTGAGCTGACCCCGGCAAGCAGGTGAGCTCCCACCCAGCTGCTCACTCACTTCCCTCAGTGGGATGGTGGGGAGAATCAGAACGGCAAAAGCAAGGAAAAAACAAAAAGCCTTGTGGGTTGAGATACAGCCAGTTTAGTAAGTGAAAGGGGAAAAAAACAAGGGAAAAAAACCACCGAGTGATGCACAAGCGATCGCTTACCATCAACAGACTGATGCCCACCTGGCCCCCAGGCAATGGTTACCTTGGAAAAAACTTCTCCCCTAGCTTTCTTGTTGAACATGATGCTACATGGCATGGGACATCTCTCTGGTCAGCTAAAACATGGTTGTGTTACCAACATTGTTTTCCTCACCAGCCTGAAGCACAGCACTGTATCAGCTGCTGTGAAGAAAATAAACTCTTTCCCAGCTAAATCCAGTACACTAAGAACCAGCTCCTGAAAGCAACTCTTTTGGCCAAATAAAAATATTTTATAGCAGTATTTAGCAAAAATAAAAGTGTCTGGATAACAATAACATTTGTATATACATGTGTATGTGTGTATATATATGTGTATATACAAAAATAAATGTGTGTGTGTATATAAAACATATACAATTGTGCGTGTGATTGATTTGAAAACTAGGGTTAGAGCTTTCCTAATGATGTGCAAGTTTTCAGGAAACCAGCTGGGTTTTGATTCTAGGTACTTCCTTACAAAAGCTATGAAATGCTCTCAAGCCCAGTTCTTTCTAACAGTGCCGCCCCTCATTTCGTTCCTGATTTACGTCTTCATGAAGGACGCCTGCTGGCAAGTATCGTTAAAATGGCATCTGGGAGAGCCTTTTCAGCTATCAATATACTGCAGCAGCACTACTTTTTAAATTCAAAGAATGAATCTAAGATTCCAGACTTGGAAATAATACATACACGCAGGGTACTAAAGCCCAAAGACTCTCAGATTTCTTGTCAGGCTATAACCATTCCTAGCAGCGGTGGGGGCATGTACCAATACTGCTGGGAGCAGCAGCAGGTTCCCATTCTGTGTGAAGCTTTGTAGCACTTCTAAGACATGTTTGTGCCACTAGTGGTATTTGTATCACACTTCAGGAACCTGTGTTGCAGTCACATTGCTTATGAAAAATACTAATATGCTGGACGAAATTCACTGTAGTGCTGAAGGGGTGGAAAGGAAAAATACATATCAGCATCCTGCTATGTAAATAATGAGTTGAAGATACTGGATTCCTTTGCACAGCGAGTCTGGACCCACACTTCCAATATTCTCCCTTAGAAGTGTTTTGTTTTCCGTATATGTATTTATATGAAATCTTTTCTGTATATATATGTGTGTGTATATGGATATATATAATTACATATATTTCATAATGTTCCATGTTATGGAAATAGATAATATATATTTTCCACATATATGAAATATTTCCCCCTCCCTCCTTTCAGTCTTTGGCTAACAGGCTATGTGAATTTGATGTGTTAGAATTAATTCACCTTTTGAATTTTACTCTTTTTTTTCCCCCTTTTAGCTCCAGCTCATAAATGATCTGGAGTAGAGATTGAAGGTGTGTTTGATTCATGAGCCCTTAGTAAGACTCAGTATATATAGGACTAATGATGGTGAGGTCAAATACTTGTGAGGGATTTGCAATGGTGGCATGAATGTTTGTCCAGACTTAGGTTACTGCATGTCTAGAAGAACCTTTAGGCTGTCTTTAGGGAGGAAAGGGACAAGCATAAAAACACTTTGGGTGTCTTGTCAGTTAAAGATAACTTTTTGAGCATGGCCAGGTGAAATACTTTTCTGCTGAATCTGTATGTCAGCAGCTCTGGTCTCTCTGCTGTTGATCAGAGCTTCCTAGAGGAGAATCAGAAGTAATAGACATGACTGATTAAAAATCTATGATCCAGAAATCATTTGGGAACACTGAACCTGAAGACTATTGTTATTTCCATCTTCTATCCAGTAAGAAGTTTTTATGTGGTAGAAGAGGTGTGGACTTGCGTCACAAACGGATGGGAAGATCCAAAAAGTTTAAAACTGAAGAAGCAGCAGTGCGTCAAAAACCTCATCTACTCACAACACTTACGGGCAAGAACCAGACCAATTCAGACATAGGAGAGAAGGAGGAGAGCTCTTTTTCCATTACTGCTTCAAGGAAGAGAATTAGTATTTGATAAGAAAAATCAATTAGCTGACAAGTAAGATGGAGATTCTGAACACAACCTATGGAAACCATCCTTGAAGAAAACCTTTAATGTAGAGGATCTCTGATGGCTGTGTAAGTTCTGGAGCATGGTTGTGTGTAGCTGGTTGACTCAAGGTTTGCCTTAGGTTCTACCTTGTAAGTATATCTATGATTTTAATAGTCTCCTGGCTATTAGGTCTCTTATATTCTGTCAAATTCCATTCATCTTAACTTGAATTTGTTGGTGTTCAGTCATTCTGATTTTTATTTGAATGATTACCTGGTTCCTACACCTGTGCATCTATAAATGTATCATCATAACATTTTGCCTTGACCATAAATTTATTCCAAAACTGCAGAGCTTTTGTAATTTCCTGAAGCTCTCAGAAATCTTGGTTTTAGTCCTCTCATAAAAACCTACACAGATAATTGTAATTAAGTTTTACAGAAAGCTTACTGAAAGTAGTATCAAGTCCTTCTCCTGCCCTTGAAGTTCTTGTGCCAGTTTTTCTGATTATATAGCTTCAATTTTCTATCTTAAAACAGGCAGTCTTTTCTGGTATATGTTTCTTCTTGTTTATCTGGATTTTTCATCACCAAGATCTCAGTCTCAGGGACTCCTCAAGTATTGTGCACAGTCCTTCAAGCTTAACGCTTAACTTACTAACGCATGTGTCATTATTTGCATTCTGTTTCCAAGTGATTGCCTTCCATGAGAGAAAACAGTGAAATTGGTTTTGTGACAAGTTGTGTTAAATCTTTTTGAAAAGAAAAGATACTGTATTTTTTGTTACTTCTTCAGTCAACAACAGCCAGGTAAAAGTATAGCTGTAGTAAGTACAACGTTTTCAGGCAGATGAGTGATTTTAATTTGTCAGGTGTTATACTTCATTTTGCAATGAATTGTGTATTTCTTCTGAAAACAGAGGAAACAGAGCATTAATATGTAATCATTTAACATATTTTGCCATATCCTTCTCATGACTGCATATTTTTCTTACTGACCAGGCAGTGTCTTCTCTCAGGCTCGCTGGGTCCCTAGAGGTTGTTCTGCTGTCAAGCTCTGGACCATCTTTTTGCTGCTGATGCTGTCAGAGGCTCCGTCACCAGATGATGTGTGCTGCTTACTGCCGAGGCTGAGTGGCTGGAAGGGATGAAAATCCCCACTGCACGGGGTGAGCAGGGGAGAGGAGGAGGGTTTGCAACGGCAGGAAGACTCACACTTGTGTGTGTTTGCTTACTGCAGTGTCTGAGGGATGAGCTATTCTTTTTTTTCTGTAATGTCCTGCTGTTTCGAGGGAGCTCTTTAATATAATTAATAATGTAACCTTCCTTAGCATTACTGCTTCATTTGCTGAGGTTCATTCCAGCTCGCTTAGAAGCCATCCCTCCCATGGGTTCAGGACAGACCTTAAAACCCACCATGGATTTAATATGGCACTAAACTAAGGAGTCTTGTTAGTTAATTATATTCTTTGCCCTTGTCTGAGGCAGAATTTTCCCTCTTTGCTGAACTGCTAATAAAAGCAACCTGACTCTTTTGGTACTTGTACTGCATCCCTTATTGCCATATCTGAGCATCTGTCTGTCACCTTAAATTTGTACTGAAGGTCTTTTTTAAATGTAGCTTAGGTTTCTAGAGGCTCTGCAAGAGTCTCTCTCCTACTTTATAAAAAGCAAATGGAGAAAAATGGGGGAGTTGATGTAAATCTTCTAAGCACTAAGGTGTGTGCAGCTGCCCCTTTCTGCTTGAAAAGACTGTCCGTACCCAGGCATGTCCCTGCACCTGCAGTTTGTCAGCTGAAAGCACAGGAGTAAAAGTGGGGCTGGGGTTAAGGTCCAGGAAACAGGAAGAAAGCAGCATGCTGGTACAGAATATATGTGTCAAAACTGACATTTGAAATCTCCTATCCTACTCACTTCATGTTTCTCTGTCTCTCACTGGCATGGAGGGATAGCAGGTGCAGAAGGGCTATTATAAAACATTTACCAGCAGCCAGTGTTTCTGAAAACATCATGAGCTTCTGCACATTTTACTACACCTCTACTCTTTCTTAATTTATCATGAGATACCCTTCCTTGCAGTGGCCATGGTTTTCATATAATATAGCTTGCTTGGGGTTTTGGGTTTTTTTTTTTCCTCTCTCTACTTTATAGGGCAGGGAATAAAAGGTCTGAGATCAGCAGGCCAGGACATCCCGGCCTCATTCAGGAAATTTTTTTTGCCTTCAGCTCAAGGTCTACTTACTGATTTAATATGCAAGAAAAAAATGTCCACATGCAAGTTAGCAAAAAAACCCACCAACACTGAACTTACACTTTGCATGCACTTTTGGTGTTAATATTCACCGTGAATGTAATTATCATCTCCCCTGAAAAGCACACTTCGATATCAGTAATAAAGCAATAAGAATTAATAAAATACAGAGATGGAAGATGGAACTCTGATCCTACAGATCCTTAGGGCAGATCACCACTGCAATCAGTGGTTTGGTAATTAGCACAATACCATCATAAGGAAATACTATACCATTTGCGTATCATTTCCTGATGTATAGCACAGCTCTCAAGTGAACTTCAGCTGTGAGTACCGGGGACAAGTTAGTGCACAAGCTGAGCAGTTTATTGCAACAGATCAAAAGACAGATAGTAGCTGGGTATACGCTAACTTTAGAGAAACATGTGAAAAAGACATTTGCTTTAGGTAAAGATACAATTTTTAAAACTGTCCAGAAAATGCTTCTGAAGTGCACTGAAGAGAGGTAGAGGAGAAATTAACTTTTATGTTGCTAAACCGTATCATTGCAGCAATGAGGAGTGCACTTTAAAATTCAGCAAACCAGCAGATTGGAAGAAAATTATGTCAGATTTTATAAATCTGTGTTTTCATCAAAATATTGTCAAAAATATAATTGCTTGAAGCATTTCAAAGACAGAATCACAGTGCTAATAGTGAATTCATCTCTGCTTTCATACGTTCTTTAAAGAACTCAAATAAAATACATTGCAAAAAAGAAGGGGAGTTGCCTTCAGGGATGCAGAAATCCATGTTTGCGGATCTCAGGGATTTCACCCAGAATGAAAGTTGCTTTTACTATGGTTTTTGAATGCTAAACAAAAACTCTCCTGAGCCTTCCTATGAGGTCTGACTTCCTCCTCCTCTCTTCACCATCCTCTAAGACTAAGGCTCTGGTTACAGTTCTGCAGAACCTTCAGAATGCCTCCTTGATTAGCCATTAGGATCGCACAGGGAATGGATCACATTACATGGCCCCTAACAACTCTCTGAGATCCTGTTTGGTATTTGCACCATCTTGCCTGCTGCTCCTAGATTGAAAATGCTTTTTTTTGTTTGTTTGTTGTGCATATTTATACTAGTGCCATTTACACTACTGAAGAAATGTAAAAGAGAAGCGAGGATGAACTGGTGTGCATTTTTTCTCCATTGGTTACAGAAAGCAAAGCACTACATCAAAGCAGTTAATTAAATTTTGACTAAATGAGAGTATTATTTGCAAAACAATGATGGAGTGCTTAGTAGGGTAAGTAGATGTAGGGTGAGCTAGTCTATACAAAAATTTCGTGGTTGTGAAGGTATCCAATACATAGTTTTATCTACCTTTTTTTTACAGTCCATTTAATTAATAGAAACTCTGTGTAATAATGTAGAAAACTACATGCAGTTTCTTCAGTGAGAAGAGAATTGAACAAACAGAAATATGAGAGTCTGCGGTCTGTAAGTACCTACCAAGGAATGATGTTTGATTCGAGACAGCTCCTGAGTCCTGTAGAAGGTACATTAAGATCCCATGGCTGTAAATTAAAAAGAAAATATTTAAAGCTGGAAATACCGGTTAGGATTTCCAAGAGATACAGTAGATTGTCTATTTAAAAATGAAGGCTGAAGATCTCTGTAACATACATTCTCTGGCCAAAGCATGTCATTATCACAGTTCAGAAATTACTGGGTGAATGAGTTTTTGTAAAACTACCAGAATGTTTTTTTCCTGACCTTAACAAATAGGGAAGAAGCTTCTGTAGTGGGAGATGAGCTCAGTGGTCTTCTGTAAACATTGCCTTTAAAACGTTTATGGAATTTAATTAAATTATTTGAAGCTAAATCAAGAGTTCCCTTTAAACTTAAAAGGAATACCACTAAACAGTTCTTAATGCTAGACAGAGATAAACCTCTTTAAAAAGGTCTTATACGATCCCATTCCCACAGCTAAATTTTGCCAGTCAACTTTCCAGATACTGTCTTATAGAAAGGAAGCACAAGTAGTTTTTGCTGTACAGGTATTTTTAAACAAGAATAATCACTCCTAAAAAAGTCTGGTTTACAGAAATCCTACCTCTGCCACAACTCTCATATTGGTACTATGATGCCATAATTTTCTGCAGAAACACCACCTTGGATTTTTCAGCTAAATATTATTTGAAGGTAAATTCTAACCACTATAAACAATTTAATATTTTCCTTGGCCATGTGCCATCAAGATGAAAACCTAAAACCGTTTATTCTTTCACACATCAAAGTTCCAACTGTCGAAAGGAAAAAAAAAAGGCTAATGGGAAATTATGTGGTTATTAAAAAACAATGCTGATTTTGCTTGCTTAGTCTCAGTGTTTCTATGCATTTGTCACTCCTTGTGTGTTGCCTTTATATTACCTACTTGGAAAAGTAAACTCTTTAGGAAAGGGATGTTGCAGTCGTATTTATAGAACAATTAGTTTTTAGCATATTGTTAGTGCTAAGCAAATAAAAATTTGAATCATATAAGTTCCTACACTAGATGCAATAAAAAAACAAGAGGGATAGAATAAGCAAATATTTTTCTTGCCAACTTTCATTTTGAAGTGGTAATTTTAACTCTTTCTCACATGTGGCAGCACCTAGCATTTGTGCTGTTTCTTGACTCATCTCTAGACTTCAAATTATTTATGGATTTATAAATACAATAATGTATATTTTAATGTATAATTTAACTTAAGGTAATCACCTGTCTTTTTCAGAAGGAGCTTTAACAACGTCCTAGGACTTGAACAAGCTGTCTTTTGTAAAAGGGAGAATGTCCTTAAGCTCAGATCACCTCACCTCGATGAGGACCTTTTGAGATTACAGTCAAGAA